TTGTGTTCACAGTACCTAAGATTGATTTAATTGCTCGTGTGCGATTTAGTATTAACATGATCTATTGAGTGTTGATTTCAATCAGACATACATTATATTCTTCTTTATGAGTTCGTTTGTCTGTTTTGAACAATAGCCTCATGAATGTTTGTAATAATTTATTTTTATTTTGCTCTCATTTATGGACACATTCAACTGATAGTCATTGGATTTTTGTCAAACACTCATTTTTTACTCATATTAAAATAATATATCAAATGGAGAAACTTGAATGAAGTTTCAAAATGTTACATGAAGAAACGAACTTTGTGAACTGCTGAATTGCCTCAGCTGACGAATTGATTGAATCGCATTTTTGATCTGCTGACGGAACATTTTGAATTGATGGATGACGCGTGATGCATTAACTTTTTTTGTGTGCTACAGTTTTTAGTAAACAGCAAGTTTTAAAAAATTAACCAATAATTTGAAGAGATTTTGAAAAGCTTGGCAATGAAATTTTGTATTTGTTTTAATTTTAAAAAATATAAGAGACACACAACGGAAGAAAGATGGTGAAAAGTTCATATGTGGTTAAAAACGACGCCAGTGATGCAGGCACTCAAGCAATTTTTCATTTTGATCCGGATATGTGGACTTTTCTCAAGAAAGATTCCAAAGATTGCAGTTCAAAGTGGCCCTCTACTCTACAACAGGTGAATAACAATGACAAAGGGTGTCCAAAAAACAAAAAATTTTCAAATTTTCATGAAATGCATGAATAAAAATAATGAGTGATAATAATTATAAAAAACACAAGACGACTGCTACAGCAATTAATATCAGTTACAAAAAAATAAAATCATTGATAAGCGATATTAAGTAAATGTTTTACTTGGATGATATGAAAATATATCCATACCAATAAATAATTTAGTGTTTTATAATATATAGATATATATTGTTATAACCGCGGGAATGATCAAATTGCGCTACATTATTATTATCTTGATTATTTGTTATCTTTGATATATCTGTAACATTTTAGGTTATGAGAATATCCGGCATATTAGCGTGTGAATAGTCAGGGTTTACAATAAGGTTTCCAGCAGAGAAAACAAAGTCGTAAATGTAATTTATGGAGTTACTTGGACTAGTTTATTGTTTCTATTACTGTTGGTATTCAAATAAACGTTCAACAAAGTTTGCGTTTGAAGCAGTTGTGTTCCTCTATCGGAAATCTTGAATCTACGGAATAACGAGCACTAGACGATTGTTCGAAGCTACAAACTAAAACTAGTGTTGGAAGTATAGAGATCGTTAAAGTTATAACATTGATGTTGGTAGTTACGAAAGTCAAGGGTTACAACATTGGTGTCAGAAGTAAGATTTTTGATAGCTTGAAACTCACTGCCGTTAAGAATGCCAGCGCTAAAAATAATCAATATAACTAGTTTGAAGAAAGAACTACGACAAAGAAATCTCGACTCGAATGGAGCGAAGGCAGTTTTGGTAAACCGCCTAAGGGCCGCTCTAATAAAAGAAAGAATCGATCCGGATGAGTTCGACTTTCCGGATACTTTGTTAGCCAAAATTGATAGAAAATTCGATCAACAACAACAGCAGCTGGCCAAAATAAATAAAAGATTCGATCAGCTAAGCCAGATCAACGGATAGCCGCATTACAAGCAACTAATGAAAGAATATCACCTAATAAAGAGACAATCGAAACAGCTATACCGGTGACGGCAATACAAGTACTTGAAATTATCCTACCGACTTGTTCATCTGCAGCTGATTAAGCACGTGATATCTGCAACGCACATGTTAATTGCGATGCACGTGACAACTTTGCTGCATGTGTTGACGTGGAAAAACGTAGTTATCGTGATGATGAAGATGACAATTATTTTAATGGTAACAATGTCAGTGAAGGTGATTTTAATGCGAATATTCATTTAGGACAACAATTGGTGACTGACGGCAATTCAAGCTTTGAGTTAACCCTTCTAGCACGCACGTGAAATGACAGCTCGGCCCTCGTCTACCTGGATGATTTTAATGACGGCTTCATTGCTGATGAGGATGAGAGGTGCATCGCCGTTTCACTGATCAACAGAAAAAATGTCACCGACGAATCTTACAACATGCATCTAATATACCGCTCTGGTCATTCTACAACTTGTAAACTTAGTAGAAAGATATAACTTGCTTCAAGTGCAGACAAAATCAAGATAATACAACGACTTCTGCCTATGGTTAGAACAATCGCAACAACGAAAACGTAGCGTGACCCAAAAAAATAAAACAGGGTTAAAGAGCAAAGACCTGGTCTGGTTGTACAACCTACGACGCAAAAAAAAGCAATGCCCGGCGAAATTCTCAAGAAATTGGAAAAATCGGTACAAAAGATGCCCGGCAAAACTCCAAAAAAATGGAAAGGTCGGTATAAGATCACTAACAAGATAAATAAGGTGATCTACAGGACCCATGATCATGGAAAAAATGGACAATGAAAGTTGTCCATTTGAATAGATTACCCTTATCTACCGAAGTAAAGAAGTATCGCCAATGTTAGGAACTAACAGGCTAAGGTGTGGATAATGTTATTATTAATATAAATGCGGGAATGATCAAATTCTGCTACATTATTATTATCTCGATTATTTGTCATCTTTGCTATCTTTGTAACCTTCTGATTGTGAAAATAAAGAAGTATAGAGATAATTGAAGTTATAACATCTGTTTTCGTAGTTACGGGGTGAAGGGTTGCAACAATATCCTAAAAAATAATTAATGTTGAAACTTAATATTTTGTTGGGTTTGTTTTCAATTTCAAAGTTTAATGTTTTTTTGTTTTTTTCTAAAGCTCAAATGGTTGAATGGGGTTGTTGTTACCGAAAGCATTGATTGACATGTTTTTGAAATGGTTGCATTTTGAACAACTTTTCATAAATTTAGATATTAAAATAAGTGGTTTGCAAAAAATTAACATACTAACAAAAATGAACAAACGTTATTTTTGTGGGTGGCTGAAACAGTCTCCAATCCAAATTTATACAAATCCATGTACAGATCATGTTTAATTTAGACTTAACCTTAGCCAAATTTTTCATTGTGGGGTAGGTTTAGGCCTGCCTAGATACAATTGATTGTCACAACCAGATGCTGCCCAGGTAGTTTATCGAAATATTTTAATTACACATTTCCAAACAAGTGGAATCATTTTGTGATTTAAACTGATAATTTGTGTTCAATGGCGTAGTCAGAAGTTTGTTGTGGAGAGAACTAAAGTTTTTTTCAAGACAATTTGCTATTAAACTCAGTGATTTTGTACAAAATTTAGCTTCATATTATGGCAATCTGAAATAGTTTGCTGTTCATATTTCAAAAGTTCAAAGTTAGATTTAGCCTTAACTTTGTCAACATTTGGCAAGAAAGAAGGGGCTTCAGCCTCAAAACCCACTTTGCCTTCGCCTCTGTTTTTGTCAATTGCAAACAGTGAGCGTTTGTTCAACAAACTAAAACTAATTTTCACCTATTGGAAAATTTCATCCTGGATAAATCCACAAGGAAGCGCAGCATTAATGCCAACAAACTCGTGGTTACAGTTTAATAAAAATATTTTTATTACTTTTTTATATTGTATTTGTGATACTATAAAAAAGTGTCTGATCTAAGCTTTTAATTATATCATACGTCATTTTAATGGTGAAATGTTTCAATAAACACGTCAAGTTGGATTTGCTTGAAATAAATTTATTAAAAAAAATTTTTTGCAGAAGAAAGTTTTTATTGGTTACATAACGCAGATACGTTCCAATGTTGCGGTCGCATTAAATGAATTATTATATGATTTTTTATTGGAACTACCAATATTTATAAGTGGCGTGTGTTTAACCTGAATGTAAACGTCCGTGAGATGAAATTGTGCGAGTGTCAATGAATTAGGATTTTGCTCTAGTGTTTCAACTTGTTTGTTAGGAAATGATTTTAGCTGTTTTAGCTTGTTTTGTTGTACGTGCGACTAAAAATTCATCAATTAATTTTTCTCTTTTTTGAAATCATTCAAAATGTTTTTGTAAAATTAGAAGTAAGCATAAATTTTTTGTGATTGGCTGCAAACGTTGTACACACACGAGTGAAATATTTCACTTTTTGTGCCATTACAGGGAATTTGTTCATAGGAAATTGTTTCCGTGCAAGTTTTGTACCAGAATAATCACGTTCAACATCAGCCTGTGTTTCGTTCTTTGTGGATCATGCTTTGCGGTGCGATCCTTTTTTTACACCAACATGCGTCCGAAGAAGTAAACCGGATGTTGCATTCCATGTCGGAGCAAATGTGAATGAGCTGTGATGATGTCACTTCTTGCTTGTGTTGAAATTATTGTTACAAATGCACTGGTTAGCAGTGATTGCCACTGTCGTTATTATTTTTGTTATATTTTTTGCTTTCATTCACTGGAAAGATCTTTCTAGCTTCGTCGATGTGTTACAAAAGCTATTGTTGTACGTGTGTGGACAATTATTTCTTACTAACCTTGCTGCTTGCTTCAATTCATCATTGCCTGCCTGTGGCATACTGTCCTGTCACATCCTTCCAGTTGCTGCAATGCCATTTATTGGAAACATTTCAATTACGAATCATTAACGAATTTATATCTAATTTTAACATTACATTTCAAATCTTCATAAACTATATTCAACGCTGTGTGTTGTGATGGTAATGTTTACAATTATAAAATTTAAATATTATACAAACTGAAATTATTATCAAAACGTCATTTTTTACAGTTTTAATCTGTAAATTTTTTATCAATATAAAATAAGTTTAGTTGTTCACCATATCAACTTTACACGTCTCGTTTTATAGAAGTTTTGTAATCCCATTGTCCGATTGATTTGAAACTTTATATATTTGCTCAAATCCGGTGGCTATGCATAATCAATTACCAGTCTAAATTAATTAATTAAATTATTATATGATTTGGCAAAATAAGTAGGCACTATTCAATAAAATGGCAGTCAAACATAGTCGGAAGTGTAGGGTAAATGTAAATAAACGAACAGACTTAGAACTTGTTTAATTTTTTAGTTATGTACAGCCGATGTCATCCAGTTTGAGGTGTTTTAAAATTTTTAGCAATTAGCGAGTAAATAAATTAAATAACAATTATTTTTAACATAATAGTGGTTTTTAGAAAAAAATTTTTTCATTTAACTAGTTTTATAAAGTTTTAACAAGTTCAAACGTGAATGCAAATAGTAGTTAAAAAAATAATAATTTGATAACACGTGATGTCTGAAATTTCACAGTTAGTGAATTGCGAGACATTTGTTTGGATGAGCCAACCGAACCATTCCACTATCCTTCCATCGTTTATCCATCATTCCTGCGTGCCACACTCCTCGCCAGTCCAAACTATCCAAGAAAGTATCCATCGAATGTGACGTGCTCCGTGCAGGTGGTTGTTCCACAGCATCACCTCCTCGATGTGACACTGCTGGATTTCGAGTTGGACATCAAGAGAGATGGTGTCTGTAAGGTGAGTGGCGAGCTTTGCAGTCTTCTCCATTTCATCAATGATGACACAACTTTTTGGCGAAAAACATATTAAATATTTACGTTGAATATGACACTACTAATGCTTATGCAATCAGGCTAACATTTGTGACCCCAAACAAATTTGTTTATTTCAAAAACAACTCATAAATGTAAAACTTATTATCAACTCAATATATAAAAATGAAAAAAAAGGGTTTAATTAATCAGTTCATCAATTAAAACATCATTACATTTTCGGTCTTTATTAGCAGACAAATACCATCAAAATTTAATCAAAACGCAGTCAAATTAATAATGTAACAATGAAAATCTTGATGGTTAATTACAAATAGTTAATTTTAAATAATTTCATATGTATATATATTGCATACATATATGCAATTATTGATGGAAATCCCAGCATGATCCCTGTTAGTTAGCTTCCTGTTTAGTTTTTCAATTTTTCTAACGGTTGATCCTAAATCATTCTCAAGTTTCTTGAGTTCAAAACCAAACTTCTTATTTATTTTAAGCATGATAGAACAAAACATAAAAGATTTTTACGATATTCCTATACTATCTTTTGTGTTCGAATTGATAATAATAATAATAATATAAACATTTATGAAGCGCCCATTCGCACAGCAGCTCCAGAGGCGCTCGGAGCCCTTGTTAAAAAGATGAGTTTTTAATCCCTTTTTGAAAAGACTCAACGAGGAACATTGTCTCAACTCAGGAGGTAACGCATTCCAGACATACGGAGCAGCGTGACGAAAACCGCGGCCAGCCATGCGGGATCCGGCAACGGGAATGTTTAAGAAACCTGTTGAGCTGCTGCGGAGTGATCTAGTATGTTCATGTCTGGATATGAGGTCGTATAGATATGTTGGGAATTTTAATAAAAGGGTTTTGAAGGTAAGGACTGCAATTTTGAAAATGATTCGAGCGGAAATTGGAAGCCAATAAACCATTGGAAAGAGAATGGAAGAACTAAAACGAGGAGGTTTATTAAATATCAGTCTAGCAGTTTTATTTTGGATAGTCTGTAGCTTTCTGACAGATGCACGTGAGGCCCCCTACAATAAGGAGTTGCAGTAGTCTAATCTAAAAAGGATCAAACATCTGCAAAGGGCAGCAGCAACATCACATGTAATCATATGTCTAATATATACGTTGTGTGTGTGCCCAGATGCCTAAATATTAATATACTGTGTCTTAACTTTGTTGATTCTTTATTTGTTTAAAGTGAATACTTAACGGTCATTTAATTAGTTATTGCCATCTTCACTTTTGAGCGATATGAAACTTTTACGTGTCATCATTATCGATGATTCCTCTGTTTCTAAATTCATTACTAGGACGGATTCCAATTGCACGTTGTTGAATATTTATTATCGGATGTCATTGTTCTATAAGTATTGATTCGGCGAGTCGTAAATTATAATGGTTGTTATTGTTATGTAAGATTTCAACATTTGGACCATATTATATATATATATATATATATATAATATATATATATATATATATATATTATTGATTAAAATCACAGCATGCTCCGTGGTAGTTAGCTTCCTGCTTAGTTCAGTTTAGTTAAACAGGAAACTAACGCAGAACATTTTCATCAATAATTGCATTTCTGACTGTCATAGTCATAAATAAATATATATATATATATATATATATATATATATATATATGTAATGGAAATTGTTCCATTACATGGTCACGGGGGTTGGTTACTAGACCAAAGTACAAGCGCTTACCTAGGAGAGAGCACTGTGCAAATCTATAAATAGTCTGCACAAATGAGTTAAGCCCCTTCTCTTACTTTTCTGTCGCTCTTGTGCCAGAGTCGACATTAGTAAAGTTGTTGTAACGTGGCATTTTCGTTAATTTGATTTACTCGGTTATTTATTTGGTTAGGTTTTAATAAAGGAGAATTAATAATATATCTGTTGCGTTTGGTTATAAATAACTTATATATATCGCCGAATCAATACTTATAGATATATATATATATATATATATATATATATATATATATATATATATATATATATATATATATATATCATATACTACAAACGTATTAACGCCAAACATTCGGTAGAATTTATAGAATATTGTAAAAATTAGTCTATTACCATACATATATATATATATATATATATATATATATATATATATATATATATATATATATATATATATATATATATATCTGTATATATACACGGAGTACATGCAGATCTGGTTGAATGGATTAGGGATTATATGAAAGGTAGATCATCCAAGGTAAGGGTGAATAATTGCCTTATCAGACGCCTTTGATGTAAACAGCGAAGCGTCCCAGAAAAAATGTCTTAGGTCCTCTTCTGTTTATCACCTATGTTAGTGACATGCTCAAAGTTGTTGAAAGCAGTTATGTTTAGTTATGTCTTTATGCTGAAGATGCCAAATCGTTTAGTAAAATTAATTTGATAGAAGGTAAACTTGTACAATGATGTCTGGATGATTTTTATGCCTGGTGTTTCAAATGGAAGCCAGATTTAACTGCTTATAAATGTGCTGCAAGGAGGCATTGCCTTAACAGATATGATGATGATTGGTTTTACAAATTTAAGGGAAATAATTTAAATTGTTGTAACAAAATTAAATACTTAGGAGTAACTTTCAATTTTTTCAAATATTTTACTGAAGACTTTTTCATATTGTTATACAAGGCACTGATTAGATCTAAACTTGAATTTGCTGCAAGCGTTTGGTCGCCATGGCAGATTAATGAGATCGAGGCAATAGAGAGGGTTCAAAGACGGGCCACAAAATTGGTTGGAGAGTGCAGAAGATTAAATTATATCGAGCGAAAGGTTACAGAAACTGAATCTTCCTTTTCTTAGATTTTGACGCTTTCGTGAAAACTTAATCACACTTTTCAAAGTTACAATTTTCAAATTTCTCAGAATGAGCTATTATAAATCTTTATAAAAAATTATTGAATACGCACTCATGTAGCTACACGAACCAGAGAAGGACATCGATACAAACACGATGTGAGTGGATCTAATGTTAATGCAAAGAAATACTATTTCTCCAACAGAACAGTGCTTCTGTGGAACAAACTTCCCTCAGCTGCTGTTGAAGCTGAAACTGTAAAAGAATTCGAGATCGCGATTACTGACAAAGATTTTTATTACATTCTTCATGTTGAAATTTGCTATTAGTTAGATCTGGTCATATGGACTTTAATAAAAATGTTATGCTGTGTTGTGTTATGCTGTGTTGTGTTATGTTAAGTACTTTCAGCCCTTAATTTTAGCTAAAAATATTTCTATTCTAAGTCTTCGATAATAATACTACACGCATGTTTCATTAACCGCCAACGTTTGCGCAAGCATTCTTCTTAATAAACATTTATCTAAACTATTTTCAAATTTACCTTTTCAATTCCTTAATTATTTGTTTTTTGTTTGTTTATTAATGCATGAGTTAATTTAGTTCAATAATTAAATGATAATAATTTAATTAATTCATCCAATCACTTCGTTCGTTTGTTCATTAATTTAGATAGATAGTAATTTATTATTCAAAAATAAAACTCCTACCTTTAAAAGAGCCTATATTAATAATTTAATAGAACAGAAAATAGAAGGCATGTAAATGTTGAAAAATTGTTCATCCAGGTGATCGATCACTCATTCATGCCTACATAAATCATCCGGCCGCAAACAACTTCATCGCTATTCATCAATTTTTCTCCCTAATTTTTAAACATTCTTTAATCACATTTTCATTATAATTTCATATTTTGTTTACTTTGAAAAGTTTTGTAAACTGGGTGTTTAAATTATTAGTTTAAAATTTTTATTTGTAATTTATTTCAAAGAAAGCTATTGCGTGACTAAAGAAAATAGTTGAAAATATCTTAAAAGACGATGTTACGTGAACATTGTAGAAACAAACAAACAAAAAGACAGACAGAAAGAGAGAGAGACAGACTGACTGACAGTCAGACAGACAAACAAATGAAAAATGCAACGATTTAAATATGACGGACAGGACGTCTTGCAGATATTCAGCATTTCCAACCCAGCACCTCCTCAGCTGGATGCATGCGGAGTGATGGGGTCGGAAGTCTTACAACTTTCTCAATCGTTCAACGTAAGGTTCATTTCGGCGCCAAACAGCCTTATACAGAGAGGATTCCTTTTGCACATGCAAGGTTGAATGTCTGCCTTTTCATTTCTCTTGAAAATTTTTATGAAAAAGTTATTTGGTTGGTAATTGTAAATAGGCACATAAAAACTCAATAAAAAGTGGATACCATGTTTTGTAAACAGTCTCGTAATCAGGAATTTCAATTGCGCAAATTTTACCTGCTGACCGTCTTATTCTAGCTTTGGCACAGCGAAAAATGTTGTTAATTTTAATCTATCGTTAACGATGATGAAAACATTTAATGCCATTAACGGGCTTGTTTATTTTGAAAATAATGATAACTATTTATAACCCAAACTTGAAAATTTTTCAATTTCCACTGCCCTTCCAATCCAATTGTCGTAGTACGCCCACCGTGCCCTGCTATCGATACCAAGAAGGACCATATGACGGTCAGTTACGTTGTCTCGGAAGGGGGATTGTTTGGGGCCAACATCACCTGTCTCCAACTCCTCAAAATAAACAAATCTCTCAAAAGTTCATTCCTCCTGTTGGAATGCAAGGCGGGAAGATGGGTGGGATTGGAGCAACTGAACCGCTGTCGTGATGTTAAAAGTAATTTCAATTTTACGTTTTGTTACTTTATTCAGTCTTATTGGGAGAAAAACCTGTTCAAGTTTAAAAATAAATAATTAATTGAGAGACCAAAAAAATTTTTTTTAAATCAAGTGAACATCTTTCCAATTGTTTCATTTAATCCTCGAACGGCTTTTTATCTGCTCAAATAAATAATTATCAATCAATCAATCAATCAATCAATCAATCAATCAATCAATCAATCAATCAATCAATCAATCAATCAATCAATCAATCAATCAATCAATCAATCAATCAATCAATCAATCAATCAATCAATCAATCAATCAATCAATCAATCAATCAATCAATCAATCAATCAATCAATCAATCAATCAATCAATCAATCAATCAATCAATCAATCAATCAATCAATCAATCAATCAATCAATCAATCAATCAATCAATCAATCAATCAATCAATCAATCAATCAATCAATCAATCAATCAATCAATCAATCAATCAATCAATCAATCAATCAATCAATCAATCAATCAATCAATCAATCAATCAATCAATCAATCAATCAATCAATCAATTAATCAACCAATCATTCAATCAATCATTCAATCAATCATCATTGTCGTCGTTGTCGTCATCACCCACCATCACTCAATTATTTCATTCATCTTCACTTAACTGGATGTCTTCTAAGTTATGATCACCATTTCGTTTTCATAATCATCGTCGTTGAAAACAACATCAGGCGGTAGCTCGTTGGCGAACCTCCCGGCAACCAACCACTCAACAACCAACATGATGACACTCGTCAGCAACAACATCAACAATAACAACAACGGCAACATTAACAACAACAACAACAACCACATGTTGAACAGCCCAAACAACGACAACAACAACTCGGCTGTGCATGGTACCAGCAAATCAAAAACTCAGCAAACACAATACCCCGTCACTACTCTCATAGGTATATCAGATTTATCTTATTTCTTGTTTTCAATATTTACTTTTTTCTCAAATATTTTTGAAAAAATTCTTGGGCTGTTATGGAGCAAACGTTGATTTGGAATGAGGCTACTTGTTAATATACGACATAATGTTAACTTTGTAATGTTGTTATTTATAATTTTAAATAGCAACATTATAATACACTTATCTACGTAACGAAATGTTAATGCTCTACTAAAGATAGTCAGAAGAAAAGCTAAAATTGGAGAAGCATGGGAGTTTGTACGAAAGTGGAGTAATTTTTTATTTTGGCAAAAATATTGTGCAAAATGGGAACGACTGATAATGAAGAAATATTGAAAAATATAGAAATAAGAAAATCTGAAACACCTACGAGAGTGGTGACGGGGTATTGGGCTTACTGAGTTTTTGGTTTGCTGGCAGAAATATTGCTGAAAAATGGGATCGACTGAACTGAGCGAGAGGCGGAAACGATCGACGAAAGTGGAACATTTTTCACTGAATGACAAATTCTTAAAAAGTTTAGTTGAATTCACGTTTGTAAGAGGTGGCAATGTGAAAACTTTTCCAATTTATACATTAAACAAGTTGCGCATTAATTGGTAGTTAACTTAAAGTTTAATGTTAAAAATCTGAAATCGACACTTCTTTGGCTACTTTCTGAAAAATTATAAACATTAAAAAAAATCGACCTAGAGATTTTAGGAGCCGTAATTTTTAAGGCAAACGCCACTTTAAATTTGTGATGGCTGAACTCAAACTTATCATGTTAATGATGACGCACATTTGTAACTCTTGTTTTCATGGCTCAAACGACGTACCTATATTCCAGAACTTATGTTTAATAAAGTTGTTTAGAGTCCATCAAAACAAATTAAAATTTTATATAACAAGAGATTCCGAATTGAGTTCCAGTTTATTTCCAATATTTGTTTAATGATGAAGGGTGGTTAGGTAACTTTGATTTGGCTGGTTTCGGATAGCTGTCGTGGATGATTCACTACAATCTACTTTTTCTTCTACTGTTACCGCAGTGGCTTTTCAGAAGAAATGTTACAAGAAGATAGTGGAAAGGATAACATGGGCGTAAATCACCTAAAAATTTGTTGGTAATCTCCGACTGGTAATGGTGACATAGAGCCTAGACCGGCCTATGGAACAAGGTTGTCAGCGTATCAATGAGCCATGCAAGATTTGGGTTGCAGATTGTCTCGGGATGTAAATGTTTGTGTGAAGTTGACATTTCACCATATTTTTTTTACATTGGCTCTGACAAGCTTGCGAGATTTTTTTACCACAGATGGTTATTTACGTAGACTCTTACAGAAAGCCAATTCAGTTTGTGTAATTTGTGTAAGGATGGCGTGTGGCTTTGTACATGTATGGACACATGCATCTGCGAACATACGGATTTCTGCTAAAAAAAAATTGGTTTTCTCATTAAAAGAATTTTTGTGTTACTTTTCGATTTCTTTATAATTTTTTACTATTTGATGGTCCTGAATTATTTAAAATTTAAAACGTTTCCGGATTGTAAAAATTTAATAATATTGCAAAAATATGTAAAAAATATTTTATTGAATAAAAAATTGTTGCACGGACAAAAGTAGAAAATTTTTTCTGACAGTTGCACAAAATTGAGAAATGATGACGGCCATTAGGTAGGATGAGCCGTAAAACCAGGGAGAGTTTAACGTTAATTTGAAATGCTTTGAATTTCAATGTTCAACGATTTATCTCAAGTTGAAAAAATTGACACTGTTCAAATCGGAAAAAACTTTTGTTTGAAAAAATTTTTACACATTTTTGCTTCTTGTGAAGAGTGTTTTTTTTACGTTGTTTGACAAGCAGATAGGCAAGTTTTTCATAAAATTAATTTAATACAGTTATGCAAAGTTTGAAAATGGCAGCGTGTTTAAATGTACATTAAGAAAGCAGTTGATTGAAGCAAGATGAACAACAGCACACGTAACATCCAACAACAACAGACAGTTGTTGGTCATGATGTTTTTCCTCGTCTTCATGAAGAGTGAACCTCTTGCAGTCAGTCAATCTATCACGAGGACTGCTTATCGATCATTTGGTAATTTTCAGTGCCCGACTTTTGAAAGACTTTTTATGTTTATATGTTTAATTGTAAATGTCAAAACCACAACAATAAAATTTATCAAAACTGAGCTTTCATATATCTATTAATACAAGCGCCAGTTTCTACGTAGGCTGTTGATTTTACGGGTTGTCATAAGGGCATGTATGCTAATGGTTGTGTGCAGTGCATAAGTGTGGTTATGTATGTGTGGGTGGTGATTATGTATGCATGCGTGGGTGTGTGTATGTTTTAATGTGCATTTATTTGTCAATAGAAGCAGGATGTGTTTTTGGATGTATGCGTGTTTTTACTGTACATGAATAGACAAGCACACGTCGTTTGATCGTTCATTTTAAAATCATTTAATAACTGTATTTGTTAAATAAAATCTGTTTGAAAATATTAAAATTCTAAAATGAATCTTGCATCTAAGTTATAAGTTTTATACAGACCCATTGTTTTGTTTTAATTTCTCAATTTTATAACCTCAAATAATTAATTGACTAAAATCAAAAATGAAAAAAAATTTAAAAACAACTTTTTAAATTTTTCAAACATAGAACTAGATTTTTTAAACTAAATTTCAATTGATTTTGATTGAAATTTTATTAGAAAATTCGAAGAAACGTGAAACAATGAAACACACAACGGTTATTAAAGTCCGCCCAAAATGCAGACTAGCCCCTGAAGTTGGTGATGGATGTCAGGAAGGTGCTGGTTGGAATAAATAATGAAGTTCAATGGAAAAATTACACATCTGCCAATCAAATTGGTTCTTGATTGGTGGCTGGTTACACCGCATTTGTTATTTTCGGCTTTGTGTTTGTTAGATAACAAACGAGTGGAATGTGAAATTGATTTGGATGATTTCGAAGAGTTGATGACAGTGGCAGATTTACGCACAGGCACCGGCCTGTGTTGGCAAATTTTGAGGGGCGGCATGTTTTTATTTGAAATTAGTTTTTTTAATATTATAAGATTGGGGCGGCAAATTACGAGTGCCTGTAGACGGCAAAAAGGTTAATCCGCTACTGTTTGATGAGAGGAAGTATTGAAATGATAAGAGGATGACAACTGAAATGATACTGCAGTTGTATGATAAAGAAGAATTTGGATAATGAGATAGTGAAATATGATAATAGAATTAAATGAGATAACAAAACAATGAGATAGAAAAAACATAAAGATCTGGAATAACGCGTCGAAGGGGTGGAGTAACAAAACGATGGAATGGTGAAGCAGTAATATTTTTAATTTATAAAAAGTTGACGGGAACGAATTTAACTTTATTTTTTCTGAAGTTTAACAAAGGTGGAAGTAATACAATAAAATTGGCAGTCGCGTCGCTAGGATTGGTGTCACAGTGCGGTGTGTCACCACTTTGTCAATAATTTAGCTTTTATTCTGAGGGTATCGCTGGATAAGAATAGTTTTTTAAAGTAGACCAGTCCTGACTCTTTGCTGCTTTTTTGACTTGTATTGAATCAATTAAGCTTGTGATCGTTTATCCGCTTATAAAACACCACTGAGCCGAGTAGCGCCTGCTCTGTATTTTTCATTCGATGACACCCTTTTGAGATTGTGTCATCCGTGTGCTTCGCATTCTCCATACCCGCTTACTAGCCATCAATATTATATATCAAGTATCAAATGTAACGTCGTACATTGAAAAGGAAACAATTTTTTTTTAATTTACTAAAAAAATTTACATAATAGAATAGAATAAATTTGCAGCGCAAGCAAAGACTCTTGCTACCATAATGTAAACAGTTTTTATGAATAAACAATTCGATAATTGAAATGTTTTGTTGAAAATGTTCAGTTTAACTTTGTATTTTTTGGTTTGACATCTTTCTTTTCATATATAAAATTTATCTAAGGCTACCCTGAAGCTAGTAAAGTTGGCTGATTTGACCACATTTTTAGGTAGGCCATTCCAGTCATATACTATTCTGTTGGTGAAGTAATATTTTCTGACATTTTTTTTGCTAGATCAGCTTCATACCATTTTCTCTTGTCGCCATGTTAAGCGTGTAGTCTGGTTTGATATCGACATCCAGCATAGAATTTAAAAGTTAATATTGTTGTGTTTTGCTGTTTTGAAGAGTTGAAACACAAACTAAATAGAAAACAATAAGCGTAATGTACGTATACTAATTTATTACGTAAAATAAATATAACGTTCTATAACCAAACGAATTGAAACGAATTGAACGAACTAAAAAGCATGTCACAGTAAAAGTCACATTGTACATTAATTATCGCCCAAAAACAAACAGAATAAATAGTGATGTGCCCTGCACATAACACCTCCCCAACAAGCTAAAGTTTGTGGGCAAACTTATGACGTATACGTTCCGATCTTCTTAGGTGAGATATCGGGTCGAAAAGCACTTGACTACTTTCAGGCGTGGTAGGTTTGACAATTGAATGCCTTGAATCAACTTTGGTCTGGGTCCCAGTGATTTTCCCTGGGTCGCCATTTTGGTTGGCACCGTATCTATGTCGGATTTGCTCTACGTGTCGTTTCCATAGAAGACCATGTGGGATCGATTTACCATTATGTGTCTTCAACCTAATCTTCGAACAACTATTGCAGGAACCCATCTGGCTTGGCGATCTCTTCATGGGCCATAGTGCTTGACATAACACGGTTGACCTATCGAAATTAAACATTTCACCTTATTGTAGTTCTCTTCCCTCTCTTAGATCTTTTGAAAGTTTGAACGAACCACTCTGCCTGACCATTAGTCGCCGGGTGGTATGGGGCGCCTGTAAGGTGTTGAATCCCCCTCTAAGAAATGGTATGACCCAAGTACTCAACAGATTGTCTGGCAAATGAACATTTATGGCGATTGCATTTAAGACCCTTTTCCTGGAGACGCTGAAATAGTTTTCTCAAACTTTGGATGTGTTCATCTGCTGATTTTCCACCAATCAAAATGTCATCCAAGTAAACTACCACACTTGGAAGACCATTAGTGAGTCCATCCATGATTTCCTGGAAATATGCTGGAGCCGATAGTATATCAAAAGGTAAACGTTTTTGAAGAAACACACCTCGATGTGTGCTTAAAGCAAGACGTTTCTGGCATTCTTTTGAAAGTTGAATCTGATTGTATGCATCGACCAGATCGATTTTGGAGTAATACAAACATGTCTCTTCTTCTTCGTCAGTAAACCATTGAAGACCACCCTAGAAGCTCTAATCTATCCTCGTATTTTAATCCTCTGCATTAGAGTGATAATCTGGATGTTTGTTTCTGAACCCTTTTTATGTGTTGAAATTGGTATTTTTAAAGGGGTACCACACAACCACACCATACTCCAGAATTGACCTAACCATAGACTGATGAGAAAAACGAAAAAGTTTTTGAAATTACGTTTTAGCAGACCAACCATATTGCTTGCTTTTAGAAAAAATAAATACAAATAAATTTATTTCAAATTGCTGTTTTGCTGAACATTACAGAAAAAAAAGTTATACAATAACAATGGATAAATATGCTTGTATTTACATTATACATCATTATTTACTAAATTTTACAAATATTTAAGTAATCTTATGCACATAATGAATTAAACTTTTTGTAAATTTTTAGTTCTTACAAAAAGTAGTTTGTACTCATGGAAAGATGAAACTAATATAAAATGCTATTTATATTAAATCATCGATAAACAACGATGGGCCTGAAATAAAGAAAAATAATTGTAAAGTAATAAATTGAGAATGGATGTTAGTATACAACAGTATATTGTTGTTACAAAAGGATAATGTTAGTACAAAAGTATGTTGTTGTTATGAAATGATGAAGGTAGTATAAATTGACGTTCGTACTTAATGAATGACTCCACTTGCCATTTTACGATCTGTTCCATCGATTTCTTGTGTCAGGATTAACGATTGGATCGATGTTCATAGTGCTTGTGTGCGTATGTCTCGTCATCACCTTCCTTTGCTGTCTGCATCACTGGTTTGTTTGGTTGTTTAGTTTTTTCCATTTTTTTTATTGCTTCTTTCTTTCTATGTTTCCATCTCTGACAGGTTGTTCTTTTATTTTGAATGTTGGTTTGTACATTTTTTTTATTATTGTTACGTATGAATAATAAATGTTTTGCCGATCGTTTGCTGATATATTTTTGTATTTATTCACTCATTTGCAATTTAATTTCTAATAATTTATTTAATAATGTTTTTATTTTTCTTATATTTCTGTGTACATAATTTAGGATGGAGTTAAGTTTTAATGAGCTTATTTATTTTTCATATTATTCATTATGGGTTTTCTTTATGAGAAATGTTAATTTGGATGTCAACCATTTTTTATTCAAGTATGTCTCTAACAGATTTTATTGTTTGGCTTTATTTTCTAACAAAATATTTTTTATAACCATAAACTAATTTAAATCATTTCATTTTTCATAAAAGTTGACGTTTTATATTTAAAATTTTGTTGAACGCCAGAACTAAAAATACATAAAAATACAAATGCAGGGACAGCAAAAGAATGGACCCAGCAAGCACCCTCTCCATAAAAACTGCAGTCGTTCATCATTCGGGCCACGCGCAACATCAACTTCAACTGCATTTAAAACATCAACAACAGAAAGAGATAACAAAAGTACAAAAAATTGAACAGAGACAACACCAATTAGAGAAACATTTGCAGCGACAACCATTCGATAATTTTTCCACTAATTATTCTGAACATTGCGGTGAATTCAACTCAACAAAATATTCCACTCCCCATTTTACTGATCCTCATCAGCCACCCAAAACACCTCAAAACAAATGCTGGATACCAGCGTGTGAAATGTGTTGTGAGGCTACACAAATATGCGCACCCGATCATCCACCTCTGTCTCTCCAAAAGAAAAAAAATTTAACAAAACAGAAAGTTGTTAGTTCAACAAATATAGTGAGAAAGAAAATAAATAAGTGGTTGAAGAGCAATCGAAGCACAAAAGTGAATGGTTCATTGGTTGATCCAACAGAAAACAGGATGTCGGGTCTAACTACCGTCAGTTTGAAATACGGCCAAGAAGACAAGAACAATGTATTCTATCTATCCCCGTTCAATTAAATAACTCGTGCATAGACTTCAATAAGCAATACAATGTAGCAAACATATTCAAACTAATGAATTAATTTAAAATTATAAGGTTAACTGTTTGTATGTCATGTCTTTTGTTCACTGCGACGCCACTTTATGTTTTTTGAATAAACACTGTTTAATCGAATGGTCAAGCGTTTTATGAATAGTGACTAGCAAGTGAATCATATAGACATACTAACATATGTACAGTGGCGGATCTAGACAACTTCAACGGGGGGTGGGCAAAATTTTAAAATGGTTAGCATTTTGGTGGGGGCCAAATATTTTTACGGGGGAGACCAACGTGTCGTCAAAATAAGCGGAGGACCTATTTTATGGTTATTACGTCAATTTTTGATAAAAAACGTTCTTTTTTCTGTCAAAACAACAATAAATTGTTTACTGACTTTTAATGCAGATACTGCTCACAACGGGGGCTCCTGACCACGCCTCTCTCCTAAGATCCACCACTCCATAAATATGTTGAATTAAAAAGTAATGTAATGCATTATTTACATATATATATATATATATATATATATATATATATATATATATATATATAATATACGTTAAAGTCCAGCGTGGTTAAACCTTATGGAAATCGCAACTGCTCCTGACCGCCGCGACTGATCAAAAAATTAAAAATAATATCAAACTGTACGAAATAAAATTTATAAGAACCATTGTAACAAATAAGCAAATAAATTTTATTTTGAAGTAATCCTGAAAAAACGCATAAATATAGGTCACAAGCCCCAAATGCTCTTGATAAATATCATCTTATTCATTTTATTTGGGTCCAAACTCGATCGTATCTTTTGCAGTGCGCGGGTCATCGAAGCGCCAATTCTGTCCGATGAAACGATGGAGACTGCTATCGGAAGATCTGTTGGTGCCAGATCAGCACTCAGCTGGGTCAACATGGAAAAATGTTTTTTTAATGTTTCCTAACCGTTTATTGGAGAAAAGTTCATTTTCTATTTTTGGTTGAATGTGCTTGTTTGACAAGCTAGTGACGTCATTTTTAGACATCATCAAATTTATCAAAACGTCTTATTATTTTTCTCTAGATACATTTCAAAACATTAGCATTACGATCGATTTAAATTTCGAGGTCACGCTTTAACAAGGAAAATAAATGTGATAAAAACCTTGAAAAATGAATTTTTGAGGAGAAATTTCAGCAGGACACGATTTTAAAATCGATTGTACTGAGATATCACTGCTGTTGTCAGCCACATATTTTGTCACATTGCTGACATGAAGAATGTTTTTAAGAAAAAAATTTCACTTCCAGTAAATTTCAAGTGACTAGGTAGTCGTGAACCGACGATTACTTTTGATGACAGATTATATGGTCAGTGACAGATTATATGGTCAGATTATATGGTCGTTGTGAGCAGTATTTAAATTAAATGCCAGTGAAACTCATTGTTTCAACCAAAAGAGTGCCGTTTTGACAATGAAGTGACGTGATAAGCAAAAAAAATGTCGTACACAAATGTTGGACTCACAGTCTAAATGTTGTCCCCCTGGTCAACTTGGGAGATATTTAAACATTTAAAAAAATTTCCTCTCTGGTCAACGTTCGAAAAATTTTGGCCCTCCGCTGAAGTTGTCTAGATACGTCGCTGTATATGGTTGGCCATTTTGCTCTCTCGGCTTTCCCATAGATTAAGGACTTTAGGTCTGGCCAAAAATGTCTTAAAAATTAAAAAAAAAACTTAAACGTTATAGACGATTAAAAATTTCCAATCCTAAATAACAAATTATTGTATCAACCGACTCCTACTACGCCCCCTCAAAAAATTCGACTCTGGGTTCTAATTATATGGTTCCGACTCCCAAAAAAAAATTTCAACTTTTGCATAATAGTTTTACCTTATTATCACTACTAAATAAAAATACTTAAAATAAACACTTAAAATCAGTAAATGTAATTCTTTTTCTTAACAAAATTGCTTTATATTAATGTTTAAAAATGCTGGGAAAAAAATCATGTGATTTTATTCACAGTAAAGCATTTATTTCTATTTACGTATTAAAGATGATAGCATGTCGCGACATACATTTATCTTCTAATAACATGACTTTAAACAATTCTTAGAATAAAAATTAATTTTTTTAATTTCTTAGCGTTCTACGGAATCGGATGATAAATATGTGCCGGCCACTCCAAAATTCCGACTCCGACACCAACTTCGTACGTCATTTCTCAAGCCATGCCATTTCATTTCCACGTTTATTCCCGTACGCCCCAACACCTTACAAACTAAATCATGTTGGTAAATTCTAAAATCTCGTTCTGGCAACTTACGTCATGTCTGTAATATAATGAAATTTTGTTGCTGTTTTTGACGATTTAAAAAAGATGACAAAAGAATTGAAAATTTTTGTTATAACTAATTTTTCAAATATACTATGGTTATAGTATTATGGGCGGCGTGATGGCTCAATGGTTAAAGGCGCCTGGTCTTGCTATTGCAATGACTGGGTTCGAATACAAAGAGATTCTCACCTATCATAAGCGATGTGTATAATGCGTGGTTTGCACGCGTATTCATATACGCTGTGTGTGTTTGTCGCTGAAACCTCTGAGGCAAACGCAAAAGAGAGAAATTAACCTTTAACCTTTAATCAACAGTTATTAAAAAAGTTTTGTTTTTATTTGAAAAAGAGCTCTGGCGATTAAATTTTTAATGCAATTTATGCCGCTAGTTTTTTGACTAAGTTGAATTCCTTGAATTGAATAATAGAAGGAATGGTGACCTAGTGACCTCGATATTACCTACCTATTTTTATTATATTATATACTTTCTGAGGCCAGGCATCCGTTTTTTAGAAAAACGGCAGAACCCGGAAATTACAAAATAAGATTTGAAAAAAACTTGCTCGCGCATGTCGATAAGTTTGAAGAGATGGCACAAAAGTTCATTCGATAAAAAATTCATTTGTTAAAAATTTGTTCGTTTGAGATTGTATTAAAATATTACAACATAAAAATATATCAAAATTTTCAGTCTGTTTGACCTTATAACCGTTTTGTTTTCATTTTGAAAACAAATTTAAAAGATGAAGTCTTATTGGGTTAGAATCTTAGAATAGATATAAGATAGAATCTTACATGGTTGTGGTGTGGTCCAGACTTACATTTTTGTTTTATTAAGGATTATCCATGGAATTATATAACTAATATATAATTATTAATATAATATATATAATATAATAATATTAATTAATTATAATAATATTATATAATATAATAATATATAACTAATTACATAATTATATAATTCAATGGGATTATCTATGTAAAAAAAATTATCCCATTATTAGTATCTTGATAGGAAAGCGTTTTCTCAACATTTTGTAATTCTAAATTAATTTGTGTAAAATGTTTTGATTTGAATAATTTTAACCTAATAATTTTAACAAATTTGTTCCGTTTGGAAAATGTCACACAAAAACTTTTACTAAAATTGATTTGTCGGAGAAGAGAATGGACATTTTGGTTGAAAATTGTGCTGATGATTTGTGCCTTCTGACAAAAAATGTTAAAATTCTGATAAAGATTTTTTGTGAAATGTTTGTCTTTATTAACAAACTTTTGGACAAGTTTTGGTTACGTGTGTGTAAATAGTTGCTACAAGCGTGCGCTGAAACAGCTGTGTGTTTGGCGCCTAACTTTTACGTTCTAATTAACTTCTAATTGCGATGTTCTTATTACTATTATTATTATTATCACTCATTATTATTATTCAATATAACAAAATGTCATCTGTTTTTACTTCGTTGTTGGATGATATCATCGTGCAAAATCAAAATCAGAGTATCTGTACACCTTGCGTGATGACGTAAGGTCTTATTACAACCTTTGCTTGCTTCCCTTCTAATCTTCGAGTTGTAACGAATCGTTTTGCCGAATTTTATCATAATCAACTGCAGAACTGGCCTGTTTTGCTTCTTCTTTGCCAATTTCATTTTTATAAAAAACGTCTTGTATACATCCATCTTCAACCAAAATTCTAACCTGATGTATCTACATTCGTGAGAATAGTTTTTAGCGTACGATAATGTTGTATAATTGATTGTGTTTTTTAACTTGCCAATAGTCTATCATTTTTTATCATGTGATTAACGTACTGTTTTCTGATAAAATATATTAAAGTTGAATAAGAAAGTCTTTGTAACAAGAAGAAACAACTTTTTTATCTGTTAAAGTTTATGCGAAAATATAAAAATAAAACATCTATTTTCATAAATATTAATGAAACAACAATACGAGCGTATTATTGAAATGAATTCATTTAATTTCGTCCAAATGTCTCTTGAGTTATTTTGCATCCAATGTAAATTGTTTAAAAGATTGTATGAAGGAAGACATGAAAGTTGACGATTAGAAAGTGGCCAGTTCTGAGAAGGTTCCGTCGAGTTCCTCGCTGATTGTTCTGTATTTCTCCTTCTCCAGTAGCAGTTCGTCTGGTGATTCATTTGTTTTGCATACATTATTACTTATATCACGATTATAATATATTAAATAAGCGTTTCCTGAGAATGCATTTTTGATTTGCTATATGATAAATGTAAGAAAATTTTTTTAATAAGTGCTGTAGTTAATAAATTGAACCTTCAAGTCTGTCAATTTCTTTCTGCAGTTTGGAGACACTCCTTTCAGCATCGGCAGCACGATTCTCAGCCTAAATGTTGGTTTTTAGCAGTTAGAATAAAATGTTTTGAGATTATTATTACTAAAAAATAAGTAAGAAATAATTTTAACAAAAACTGGAGCAGTACTTCTTTGAGACGCTGAGTCAAATCACGGATGGTCTCTTCGTAGCTGTCTTCTCTTTGAATGCACTGTGCAAAACAACAACGTTTGTGTTTATTTATTCGTTTAAAAAGAAAATTTTGCGTGCAAACATTTTAAAAAATAAATGCTCTTTCTTACAAATCCAACTATTTATCAGTAGAAATTCATGTAAGAA